AAGTATTTGAAAGACCAGTGGCCTAACTTTCAGCGTCACAGCAGCACCAGGCCAATGAGGCACAATAAAGAGCATCTCAGAGATGATGCGAGAGGGCTCATTTCAAATCTTTCTGAATCTCTATTTCTTTTGCTTATTACTAATGTTGCATGTGTGGAAAACAACCGACTATCATGTGGAGACTCTCACCTGTCACTGAAAAACTGAAGTTGCGGATGTTAAGGTCTATGTAGTACCTTGTGGGAATGGCCACATCCAGGCGTATGTACAATGTGTTTCCTGGTGAATGACGCAAGGGACAGACTTCAGTTCCTCATTCTTGCGAAACGTTGCCACAGCGGCTTTAAATCCTTCAAGTCTGGTCTTACGACACCTCATCACCACACGTTTCTCCCGTCACACTCACTAACTTCCCTTTCCTCTGTCAAATGGCTTTTCTTATTACACACAGAGCTGATTTTCTTGATGTTATATTACAGGTAGCATTTTAATACATTCATTGGTTACATAAAATTTCTCATTAACACGGCTCTCTGGAATTAGTATTTATAGCTTTATTTGGTCAGCTTCAATATAGAGCATCACAGTCCGTGTTTCTGTAGAAAGACCTCAGTCATTCTCAGCTTTCTGAACAACAGTGTTTCTGGTTCTGGCATTTGTGAATGTTTAGTTCTGCATATGTCATATGTAATTTCTTATTTACTTTGTAGACAATCTTCCAGAATTCAAGTTATGTAAAAGGCTTAATGGCAATTTTTTTCCACTACAGTGTCTTTTATTTCCTTTTCATTCATAAATCAGCCCTGTGGAAATTAAGTTTCCTTCAGTTAGTCAAGTATTCACCATCTGTCTTTTCTATGAAACATTTCTTTAATTTGCATTTTTCTCCAAACATGTATTTTGCATTTTCTTTTTTGTGTTGTTGTGATTTGAGTGAAAGTTTACAAAGCTGATTAATTTTTCATTGAACTGCTGGTTGTTGTTGTTGTAGTTGTGTACCACAGAGTTGGAACTGACTCATAGCTGGTCCTCTAGCAGGCTTTCAGAGACAGTTAATCACTCAAGAGGAGATCACGCATTATTCTTCACAGAGCAGCTGGTGGCCCTGAACCATGTGCCTTCAGGATTGCAGTGTGGCTTCTTGCCACTTGGCCACTAGCTCCCTCATTACTCACAGATATTTTGTTTCATAACAGTCGCAATATTCACTATATAACAGCACTTCCCCACTTCCTCCCTGTCAGTCCCACGTCCATTAAACCTTCTCTGCCTCCCTGTCTTTCCTTTCGTTAGTGATATTGTGCTCATTATCCTTTTATTGTATGTTGCCTTTTCCCTCACCACTTTTGCTTTTTAAATACAATTTACTTTTCACAAAGAGTATGTTTCCCCAATTTTCTGAAAGCGTGTGGCACTTTCATCCCATCTGTTGACCCCTCGTTCAGTAGATTCAGGAACTAGTGAAGCATGAACTCAAAGAAACAGGCATAGGGAGCTCTGGTGGCCTAGTGGCAAGAAGCTGCACTGCAATCCCAGAAGTGTCCAGTTCAAATCCACCAGATGTTCTGCTGGAGAAGGAGGGGCAATCTCCTCCTGTATCAGTCAGATCTGATTTGATGGTACACACACACACACACACACACACACACAATAAAATATAAAATAAAAAAAATAAAAAGGCATAACAATAGCAGATACGCAGATTCTCCCTTTGAGTGCTGACACCTGCTCCAGCCAGGGTCCTCCTATGAGAATGTGTCCTTGGCCCTGTCAAGCCTCCCAGATTTCTGGATATCCGTTGGAATCCCCCAACTTTAAAATGTAAACGTATATTTTTAAACTACTGAATAAGTAGCTGTGTGAAGAATCCAGGCAGCCTTTTATTAGCCTTTTGCAGCTTTCTCTGTGAAGCGTTTTTTTGTTGGAGAGTTCCCACACACAAGATGAGAAGCTGAGAGAACAGTGTGTTCAATCCTTTTAAATGATGCGATCGAGGTAGAGCTTAGCCACTGACCTCAGGCTGCTGTTTGAAGTCCTCCTAGAAAGTCCTGACCACCTGCTTCCACAGAGGTTACAGCCTGGAAGCCTGTGAGGGGCATGTTCCCGCCACAACACGTGGGGTTGCCATGAGTTAACAGAGCTCAACAGCTGACTGACACTCGGATGTGGACTGGGCTGGTATTCTAGTGACAATTCTTCCCTTGAGGAGGAGGGAACAGACACATACACAAACCCAACCTGCTGCTGTCAGGTGATTCCAACTCTTCATGACCCTATCAACAGAGCAGAACCACACCTCAGCGTTTCCAAGCCGTGTAATTCTTACAACAGTAAGCAGAGGCTATAGCCTTCTTTTCTCCACACCTATTCAATTTGTAAGCTGAACAAACCATTCAAGAAGCTGAGCGTTAAGAAAAATAATGTGGCATCAGAGTTGAAGGAAGACTCTTCAGGAACCTGCATTATGCAGACGACACAACCTTGCTTGCTCAAAGCGAGGAGAGCCTGAAGTGCTTGCTGCCTTCATTATGGATTGAATCTCAACATCAAGAAGACAAAAATCCTCACCACTGGACGTAACATTATGATAGATAGAGGAAAGATTGAAGTTGTCAACTATTTCATCCTACTTGGATCCACAATCAACACCCTTGGTAGCCGCAGTCAGATCAGTAGACATATCGCATTGGGAAAGTCTGCTGTTGGGGACCTTTACAAAGTCCTGAAGAGTAATTATGTCAGCTTAAAGACCAAGGTGCATCTGATTCAAGCTATGGTCTTTTCAGTCACCTTCTCCGCATCTGAGAACTGGACAATGAATAGGATGACATCTCCACATACCACAAACTGCAAAAAGAACAAACCAGTCTGTCATGGAGAGGTTGAATCCAAATTGCTCCTTAGAGGCAAAGATTTTGAAGCCCTGTCTCACATCTTTGAGCATGCTGACAAGAGAGTCCAGTCCATGGAGAAGGACAGCATTCTTGGAAGGGTAGAGGAGGACAGTTCAGGAAAGGAAGGCCCTAGATGAGATGAACTGAACAGTAACTGGGGTAATGAGGGTAGGTGTGTCAGAGTCAGCGAGACAGGATCAGAGCAGGGCAGGCTTCAGGGCTATTGTGCATACTGTCTCTGTGAGCGCAGGTGACTCGATGGCACATAACAACAATCATTCTTAGACATTTTGTTTCATAACATTTCTATTGAATAATATAATTAGTTACAATGTCTAATCGACCCCTTATTGTATTTTTCCTTATTTCTTTCTGTGATTATTGTCTTTATTATCTATCTACAGATCCCTGGTGGTGCAGTGGTTAATGCATTCACCACTAACCAAAAGCTCAGAAGTTACAACCCATGGGCGGCTCAGCGGGAGAAGGAAAGTGAACTACAGTCAGGACCCACCGGGCTTCAGTGAGAGATGGAAGGTGAGCTGCATTCAGGACCCACCGGGCTTCATTCAGTGGGAGAAGGTAAGGCGAGCTGCTCTTGTGAGGCTTTCACTTGGGAAACCCAATCCCAATTGGCAATTCCACTCTATCCCACAGGTTTGCTCTGAATTGTAGCTCAAGGGCAGCAGTGAGTACCCACCAGGTCTGTGTTTTCTCCTTTCTGAAGGCACCGCATACAGAAAAGGTTCCCTGGGTCTCTCAGCAAGGTCTCTATTTTTTTCTGCTCTAATCACATTTCGTTTTCCCCAGAGAAAGAGTGCATAGACACTCAAGGACTGTCTTTTAACACAAATAAATCGAACTGTTCTCTTATGTATTTTTTTTCCTTTGACATCCTTTCAGACGTACAGTACAAAGACTTTCCAAACACCCTTCCTCCCGGCTCCCTGTTTGTTACCAGTTTATAACACGTGCTTCCCACTGGATCTCAAGAGGAATCGAGAGGATGAGTCAGTGTTGCTGCTTCATCTTTCAATTTCTCCTAAAGATCTTCCCCAGATGGTAGCCTTCAACCCACCAAGCAGATGACCTTCCTGCTGCTGAAACTATAGACTCCTTCCCCTCCTTACCCCGCCTGGTCCCGAGAACACAGAACAGGAAGCTGTGCTTATCAGGGATCACCACCCAGACAGAGAGACAGCGAGGCAGGAACCTGAGCTGACGGGGCATCTTCCTGGGAGAGGGGCCTCTGCCTACCACATCGTCCACCAGGCAGCCAGCCAGCACTCCAGGGAGGGAGCAGGTGAGTCTGTCTCTGTATTCTAGGTGCACAGCTGGTAGGTTCTAGTCCACTGCCCTGACCCTCAGGGCACCTGTCCTGACTGTTAGAGGCCCCTGGCTCAGTCTCTTCAAGGCTGAGGTTCCCAGCGGCTAAAGGCAACATGACTGAGACTGCAGATCCGAGTCCTGCAGAGGAAGGCCTTTCTTGAGGATCAAGTTCTCAACATCTGGGGGGAAACCATTCCAGGAGGACAGTTTGTTTATGTGATTGTTAGTTGGCTTCACCTCATGAGGACTCGAGGGAAGCACTGCCCAGTCCCTTCCCCCACACCCCATGGTCACTGGTCCTTGAAACTACATCTCAATCCATTTCACAAGGTGTCTCTGTTTTCACTGATTCTCCACTTTGCCAATTATAATGTCCTTTTCTACCAATCTGCCTTCCAGGGTCAGCAAACTTGAGTCCTTCCCTCTTTGCTTTGGGATGAAGCACTGTGGTTGTGTTGCCCCAAGACTGATTTGTTCCCTCCAGTAGCCCGCAGCATACTCAAGAAGAGTTGGGGTCCACAGAGGAGGTCAGCTCTGAGCCCAGAGCCAGAGGTTGTGTGGAGAGAGGTATGTGGCGCGTTGAAGGGCTCCCCAGAGCACAAGTCTCCATCTGTGCCCTGGATGGGTGCTGGGTCCCCTGCTACCTGTGTGTGGTAGCCCTGTCTCCTGAGCTCTCCGAGGTGCTCCGTGGAGAAGGAGGGAGGGTCTGACTAAGAAGCCACACGCCCAGGCTCTGATGATCTGTGCTCTGATCCCTGCAGCGTCTCTGTTTCCACCATGAACTGGCATATGATAGTCTCTGGGCTGATCGTGGTGATTCTGAAGGTCGTTGGGATGACCTTCTTCCTCCTGTACTGTGAGTACTTGGACAACCTCACCCCAGGCCCACACAACCTTGTTCTCAGAAGCAAGGACAAGGGTGAAGGTTATTGCTCATGTCTTCCCACTTAAGAGTCTCTGATGCCCAATGTCAGTTGGCAATGTCCTTCTTACTCCTTGGAATACATTCCAGTCAAGTTCCTTACTCTGTCTTGGAAGGGGGGGAAATGGCCAGTGGCCAGTGCTTTTGTTACAAGATAATGAGTTGGGCAATGTCAGTCTAAGTATTTGACAATGGTCATTGTTGATACATTTTAAAAGTTGACTAGATGACAAGGCTGTGTTAGTGTCTGCACTGTAATGTATTTTACCTGGACAGGAATTGTCTGTATACACAGCAATTAACTCATTCAAAGGCTTATGCTTACGCTCACTGGATGCTACTGCAAGGCCAGCAGGCAAGTACAGGAGACGGCTCTGCAGCCCAGTCTTGGTGGAAAAAAAAATAAATGAGGAAGGAAATGTGATTAAGAGACAGCAGTTGGGTAAAGATGCTTTCCTAGTGCTCAGTCTGAAGGCACACTTCCGGCCACTCCAGAGAGTAGGAAAGAGGGGTGAGTCTGTGCGCGCTGCACGAAGCATGGCACACCGAGACGGGAGCAGCTGTCACACGTGAATGAACAGTCAGAGTAGACAGGATCCCCAGCTGTGACACTGTGGCAGCCTCGTCACGCAGCCACCTTCAGGGCTGACCAACTTCTGATTTTCTTTGCAGTTCCACAGATTTTCAGCAAAATTAACCCTGGCTTTGCCCCCACGGAGAGCTACGGAACAGGTGAAGTGCAAAAGTCTAACCTTCTCTCTACCTTCCAGTTGTACACCTGAACCCTCAGTGTCTCTGCTCCATGCTTAGAAGCATTCCCCAAGAACACAGTCACCCTTTGTCTCACATGTTGTTGTTATGTGCCATCGAGTTGTTTGAGACTCATAGCGACCCTATGTACAACAGCCCCAAATGCTGCTCTATCCCATGCCAATCTCATGGCCTCTGACACACCCATCCCGATTACCCGTCACTGACTCAATCCATCTCATAGAGGGTCTTCCCCTCCTGCGCTGTCCCTCCACCCTCCTAAGCATGTTGTCCCTCTCCAAGGACCTGTCTCTCCTTGCAACATGTCCAAAGTATGTCAGACGAAGCCTCAGAATCCTTGACTCCAAGGAGCAGCCTGGTTTAACCCTCTCCAGGATGAATCTGTTTGTTTTCTTGGCTGGGCAAATTGTTGGAAGGGATCAGTCATTAGAAAAGGACATCATGCTTCAAAAGTAGAGGGTCAGTGAGGGAGACGAAAACCCTCAATGAAATGGATGGGCCAGTGACTGCGACAGTGTGCTCAATACAGGTGCTTGTGAGGATGGTGGGGGTGATGGGGACAGCAGTTCGTGCTGTTGTACTTGGGGTCGCTAGAGCTGACATGATGGCACCCGACAACAACAGGAAGATCTGTAATGTTTTTCAGTTCCTCTCTTTTCTTTCATTTTATGGAAGCCAAATCCCAGCTGAGTGAACCTTCTGGGCACAGTCTGTGTGCAGTCATTGTCACGTAGCATGAAAGAACCCCACACCTTGTACAATTTTACACCTATAGGGAGTTATTCTAAAATTCAGGTCATACACACACATATAAGTGTATGAAGCATCGGTATGTACCAAGTGCTGTATCCGCCGAGCCATGCTCTTTGGGGGGGGCCATCAGGTTGAGTTCAGCTCGTGATAACCATTTATGACACAGCAGAACTGCTCCGCAGTGATTCCTGGACTGCCGTCTTCACAGGAAGGCAACCGGTGGATCAGAGTGTAAGCATTCAGCCGTTAGACAGAGGTCGGCAGTGTGAACGCATCAACCACTCTGAAGGAGAAGAGACTTGGTGATCTGACGCAGAAAGATTACACTGGTGCTGTCAGACTGATTCCAATCGGTGGTGACCCTACGGGGCAAGGAGAATGAGTGCTGTGGCGTTTCCAAGGCTGGAATGCTCATGGACACAGACTACCGCATCCTTCCTCTTCAAACTGGCTGGTGGCTTCAAATCGCCAAGCCTGATAGCAACTGGTTAAGTGTGTAACCACTGGCCAGTGGAGCTCTGATGGCCTAGCAGTAAAAAACTATGCTGCAATCCCAAAGCACACAGTTTGAATCCAGTAGCTTCTCCCTGGGAAAAGGAAGGGAATTGCCCTCCCGGGCTGTTTACTGCCTCTGAACATTCACTGGAGGGTCAGCTGTGGGTTGGTTCTGACTCGAAAGCACCCAACCACATCAACTGGGGTCCAAAGTACAGTGAGCCACGTGGAGGAAATGTTCGTATAACATTAGGTTCGGAGATGCTATAAGGAAGCCTGGTTCCACAGTGGTCTAAGTGTTCAACTGCTGCCCAAAAAGTCAAAAGTTCAAACCCAACATCAACTCCATGTGGGTAAGAAAGACAGACACGCCAATCTACAGCCATAAAGACTCCCATCCTCGGAAATTTCCTGGGACAGTTTTACTCTATCTTACAAGGTTGCTATGAGTTGGAATCAACTCAAAAGTAAGCAGATTTTTTAAGAATAGAAGCAGTTACACAAATAGGACCAGTTATCATCTCAAGTAATTTTTTACTAAAACCTGGGTGCAGAGAGATTGCAAAAAGGGTCTGAACAGGATACTGAAATGCAAAAAAGAAGAGAAAATTCACTATAATGCTAATTTGCAGGTTTTTAAAAGAAACTATTTTAAAGTTACTTTTGAGTGAACTAAAGTCATCTTCCACCACAGAGACAGGCACAGGGCTACTGAGCAGAGGCTTGAGTGGGGTCCAGCCATCATCCCAGGAAGGGGAATCCCGTTTAGATTCAAGAGGATGGATAGGTCTTCTCTGCCATGAAATTCCTAGGTTGTGCCAACAGTTGACATTCTCAGTATTAACTTAGAAGTTGGAAGTTCAAACCCATGGGGGGCACATTGGAAGAAAGATGTGGTAATCCATTTCTAAAAAACCAGTCGCTCAATTCTGTGGAGTATATTTCTACTTTGTCCAAACAATCAGCCCCGTGCAACCCTATGGGGTACAGTTCTCTGACACAAGTGGGGTCACCATGAGTTAGAGTCAACTAGACAAGGCTAGGTCTCTGTCCACGTAACTCTATAATACTCCCAGGCCCCTTTTTCTGTCTGTGCCCCTGGTCTTGCATCCTGTCCCATTACCCACACTCTTCAGAACTGATGTGTAAAGATGGGAGAAGAGCCCAACATCATCTGCCCTGAAGATGAATGTCCCCTTAGGAGCAGGGACCCCAGAAAGAAGACGTTTTGAGGACTGAACACTTCAAGGCTGAAGTATTCCAAACAGCCCTTTGGGGAAGTTGTGTTGAATGGAATATATTTTGACAAGAAGTGAGAGGTCTTTCCTCTGACCATGAACTCTGCCACCACTCTCTTTTCTCCTGCGTTGTTTTGTTCTGTTTCTCAGCACTGTGCACTGACTGCCATGTCACTTATCATTTGTGGCTACCCTGTGGAACTGTGCAGAACTGTCCCACAGAATCTCCAAGGTTGTGCGTTTTCAGGGAATCAGATTGCCCAGCTTTCTCCTTTCTGCTGGGTTTGAATGACCAACTTTTCAGTTAGCAGTTTAGTGCTTTAAGCACAGTGTCACCAGGCTTGCTATGAGATATAAAGGACTCCATGGTGGTAAATGGGTTCCCACTTCCAAAAAAGAAGGAAAATACCCTTGAGTGTGGACATGGCGCCGAGATGGTAGGTTAGATGGGAGGGTCAAAGAAGGAAAGTGAGGCATTCTCGCAGTGACTAGGATCCCCTCACCTACCCCGTGGGCCAGAGACACAGCTGAGGAGCCCCTCGTCTACTCCATGGGCCAGAGACAGGGCTGAGGACCATACACAGCCGGCCGCGGCCTCTGTGAGAGTCAAGCCCTATCTTCCCCAGGCAGCCACCTCACCCTTGCTTTCCTTTTCAGTCCCACAGAGCTTTGGGACGAGTACTTCTGGCTTCGTCCCCACGGGGAGCTATACACTAGGTAAGGTTCAGGGCTCTCACTTCCCACCCCCAGGGCCCTGGGTGCTGAATCCTTAGAAAATCCCCAGCTGCTACTTTCCACATAGAACTCTTTTTGTTCAAAGAAGCCACCAGACTTCTAAGTCATTCTTTCATGTCAAAAAGAGAGAGAGGGCAAAATTTATCCTGGGTTGAGGATGACTTCTTTAGACGTGAAGGAGCTCCCTGGCCGCTAACTGAAATGTCGCAATCCAGGCCTCTCCATCGGCTCTTCGAGAGAATGATTGTGTGATGGGCCGGGGAGGCCTCATCAGTGTGTCTCATGGGATCACTATGGATTGGACTCAGTGACACACAACAATAACAATTGTTTCAAAGGAACCACTGTCCCCCGTCTTAAGACTTAGTTCCACTGTCCCATGTCAACCACTCAGTTCACCTGTTCTCTCTTCCTGGGTGTCTCCAGACTGCCCCACAGGATGGGTTCCACATCAAGGAAGATGTTTCCTCTTGGCAACCACCGAAATGAGTTGGCAAGAAAGCAAGGACTATTGTAAAGCACAAGAATCCACCCTGGCAGTCGTCAACACTCCAGAGAAACTGGTGAGAGCCTGGCGGGGAGGCTCAGGGCGTAGCCCACCCTGTACCAGTTACCATGGGGTGGGGGGTGAGGGACTGGTCAAGTGGGGTGTGGGGAAGGGTGTGGAAGGGTAGCTGAAGCTCCCACTCTGAACCTGCTGGTGATCTTCCCAGAGGACTGAACCTCTCCTAGAACCCAGATGCCCCACGATGCGTCACAGCTGGCCTTGGAAGTCCTTTCTTCTATGGCTTCTATCCCTGGTCCACCCCTCCGCTCAGCTGCCTAATGGATAACAACTCCCAAAATCCACCCCAAGTACCACCTTGTCTATGATCCTTTTAGGAAACTCCAAATTCGTGTAGAATCAATCACGCCCTCTTTGTGCCTATGCCAAAACCTCCATATCACAATGTTTATGATTCTGCATCACCATCTGCCCTCTCTGTTACACTCGTTAGTCTTAAACAGGCTGGCAGGGCTGACTTCTTAAAAACTGCGAGCTTCATCCCAGAAACATGACAGGCACAATATTTTGAATCCATTTTCAGGGGCTTCATAAATTCCCTTGGAAAGCAACCAGCATTCCCAGTAGGCTGTGAAGGGTAAGAGTCTGGTGTTAGACAATAAACCAGCCAACTTTTCTTAGAGGACCAGAGAATAACTCTTGTAGACTTTGCTTCTACCCACGCCACCTCTAATGAACCCTGGCAGCCCGATGGATTAACCACTGGACTGATAATGAATGAGTGCGTGGTCTGAATGCACCAGATACTCCCAACAGGAGAAAGACGTTGAAGACGGCTTCTGTCAAGACTCCAGCCTTGTAAAGCCTACTGAGGACAGGTGGTTGTTGTTGTTGTGCACTGTCACGCTGGAACCGGCCCACAGCTGACCCTTGAGCAGGTTTTCAGAGGCAGTGGGTCACAGAGCAGAGAATGCCCATCTTTTCCCTGCAGACCAGCTGGTGGGTTCAAACTGGGTAGCTTTGTGTGGGCAGCACAGTTCCTTTCCGCTAAACCATGACACTATGGCTAGGGTCACTGAGAGTCTGAATGAACTTGATGGCACTGCATTTGGCTTCTGGTTTTATACAAGTTCAATCTTAAGTATTCAACTCGGCCATTTTCATTCAAAGGCAGTTTACACTACACAGTTTACAAATACGTGCGGCTGTGTTCCGATAACACGTTATTTTAATAAGTAAGCTGTGGTCTGGTTTTGGCTCCTTGGTTATGTTTTTGCCTTGTTGCAGAGTAATTTGAGGTGAAACAGATCTGTCTCTGTATTCTCACATTATCACAATGTTTTGTACAAAACAAGCACATGAAAAAGAGGGTTAAATGAGTAAATTCCATAATTAATTTCATAATTTTGTAAAATGAGATATTTCAAGGAAGGAAAATTGGGAGAAAGAAGGAACTGAGGCCATGATCATAACAATGAAGAGAATGAACCTGGCCTCCCACCAGTTGGGAGAGGCTTGGGGAGGGGCAGGAAGGAGAGAGAATGAACCAATTACCCACCAGGTGTGGGAGGCATGGGGAGGGACAGGAAGGAGAATGAACCCATCTACCCACCAGGTGTGGGAGGCGTGGGGAGGGACAGGAAGGAGTCCAGGGAACTCACAGATTGCTGGTGTGGCGACCTGTGATTTATAAATTAAGAAAACAAAGCTGCCTTGCTCAGTAGCAGGTTAGCAAATACTCAGCAGACACTTGGTCATTTTTCCTCAGTCTCCCTGCTTTGGACACGTACTTTTACATACCAGCAATTCTCTCCCCTTGCCGAACGCGCAGGGGACGCATCACATTTATTTACTCACCCTTGTTGGAAAGGCAGAATTTCTGGCGATGAAAATGGTTCTTCGCAGAGAGTCACGGGAGATGTAAAAGGCGTGTTTGCCAGTCCGGAGCAGATGCCGTGGTGCCCCCGCTCCTTCATCTCAGGTGCCCGGAGCAGCAGCACCTGGGCTCGGTTAGATGCGCAGGTGGCCTTCATTGCGTTGAGTTTCACTTTATCAAACTTTGCGCGCGTTGCACTTACCACCAGTTAGAGGCTGGAGCAATATTATTGGTGTTGTTTCCACATGTGCTCACTTCATGTCTCTATAACATTTTCGGTATTTCTCACACTTTTCATGATGTTACTCCACACTTAATAAATTATAGCACAGCCTTTGTTTGCCCTGGGAAACCAACAAATCTGTTTGGTTCCTCTGTTGTGACGTTGTTGTTTTTGTACCGTAGAGTCAAAGCCGCCCCATAGCCGACCCTGCGGCTGGGTTTTCAGGGGCAGTTAATCACTCAGGAGGAGACTGTCTATCCTTCTGCGGAGCAGCTGGTGGCCTCCAACTGCGTGCGTTTCGGGGGTTGCAGCACAGCTTCTCACCAGTGGACCACCAGAGCCCCACTTTATAACGGGGGGGGGGGCTGGAACGGAGTATGCAGAACCTCCGTGGTGGGGCTGCCTAAGTTTCTGCTCTCTGCCCCAGATCTCATAAACCAGCATCCCACAAGTCCGTGCGTAAGCTAGTTCTTCCTGTGGTCCTGATACAGCTTGGGCGGCCACCTCTCTGAGGTTCATGTTAAGTAGAAGGGCCAGCCAGACGCAGCCCTAAAACCACGTTGATTCCCAGAATGAGACTTCCTCATGGGCCTGTTGTCACAAAAGAGGCAGCTGAAATGGTCTTGCTATTGAAGTATGTTTGTTTGTTTGTTTTTAACATCTAGAAGTTTCTCCAGAATATAACCAGTGCTGAGAAGTACTTTATAGGCTTAACATACCAGCCTACAGAGAACAGGTGGAAATGGATCAACAACTCTCCATTCGAGGGCAAGTACGTGAACATCCCAGGATTCCCTGGGACCCCTACTCTCTTACAAACCTCACTCAAGGTTCTGATAGTTCCTCTCAGCACAAATGTGAAATGTGGCTCTGTCATAGTTCCAACACAAATTGTACTGCTCTACAAGGTCCAAAATCTGTTGCAATACCTACACAGACCTGGGGTTTATTGGGTAAGTTAACAGGTTACAGTTCAGGTTGGTAACAGAATACAACTCCTCAATCAGGACAGTTTCCCAAGCGTACTTACAGGCCTTGCAGCCTTTCAGTCGTGTGGCTTTAGACCAATGTTACAAAGTTCCCTCAGTCCAGCAATTACGAAGCTTCCTCCTCAGCCTCCAGCAGATTTAGGTGAAGTTTGAGTGGAGGGCTCTATGGCTTCATTGGGCAGCAGTCCCAGGTCAGAGGTCTTTGCCTACTACGGCCCTTGCTCCCTGCCTGCTGACGGGCGGAATCTCTGGCCATGAAGGACATGTGCTAATTCTCTGTGGCTCGTTCCTTGGGTGAGAGTCCCATCTTCTGCTGCTAAATCTGCTCAATTTAAACCTGGTGGAATAACAAGATGAACCAGTCCCCTCAGGAGTTATTTACTCACCTGTTTTACATACAGCCCTATCCAGTCAGGTGGTGGAAATAAAAGCTGATGAGCTAGACAAGCCATTTGACACACTGCAGGCTCTTCCTCCCGGGCCGCACCCCTCCCCTCATCTGTCTATCTGTCCTAGTTTGATAGTGTTGCTATAAAAACACGAACAAAATTAAAAAGAAAACTCCAGAAATGTTCTCACGGCTTAAAGGTAAGAAATCGAAACTCAGGGCAGTGGTTCTAGGGGAAGGCTCTTTCCCCCTGTTATTTCTCATCGTTTCCAGCAGCCTTTCACTTTCCTGGGCTTGTATTCTCACCAAGCTCCGTCTTCACGTGTGTCTCTCCTTTTACTGTGCCTCTTTTCCCTTTTTATAAAACCACTCAGAAGGGAGTAGGTTTATAACTCACTCTGCTCCGACTGGTTAGGGTTAGGGGTTAGGATTAGGACGCACAGCAATAACTATTCTGATATGTGATGATTCTTCAGAATCTCCACAGAAGATCACATTCATAAGTACAGGATTGTGACTCTAACATAACATAGTGGAGATACAGCTCAATCCATTACACCAATTACCTCAAAAGTCACAATTATTGTAAACCTTTTGTTACGGAAAATGCCTAAGAGTAGAGAGAAGAATATTCAAATAATGAAATATTTTGCCCAAATTAGGATACACCCACACAGTGAAACTATAGTCTTTGATCTTCTTCTTCAAAAGCTCTCCAAGTCTTCTTCACTTTGTGCAGGTAAAGTTGTGTTATTTGCGTCATGTAGATTGTTGATGAATCATCCTCCAAACCCAATTCCACATTCTTCTTCATAGAGTCCAGTTTCTGAAATTACATGCTCAGCATACAGCCTGAAGCAGTAGGGAGAAAGCATCTGACCCTGATGCACACCTTTCCTGACTTTAAATAATGTAGTATTCCTTTCCTTTATTTGAACAACTGCTTCTTGGTATATGTATAGGTTCCGTGTGAATATTACTAAGTGTTCTGGGCTTCACACTCTTCTCAAGGTTATCCTTAATTTATTGTTATACACAAAGTAGCATGCCTTTGCATAGTCAATAAAATACAAGTAAACATCTTTCTGGTATTTTCTACTTTCAGTCAAGATTGAGCTGACAAATCAGTAATAACACAATGAATCCAGGTTGAATTTCTGGGATTTTTCTACTGATGTATTATTCCTGTTATTTTTTTTAACACAAAAACAATTTGTTTTTAATAATATGTTTTAGGTGAACCATTTACACAATTAGATTATTAGTTATTTTTAGAGAGATTGTTCCTGTGCAATTAGTTACAATATTTTTATTTTAATAATTTTAATGAACATTTACAGAGATTTTGGATTTCCATTCATTCATTGCTGCACTTCTCTCCCCGCCCAGCCCTCC